CGTTCCCTCAACATAAGAAGTCGTGGCCACGAGAAATGGATGTCGTTACCTCGACAAAACGATCTCGTGGCCACGACATAATATCACGTTCCCACGAGTTAATATGACGTTCCCTCAAATTAATATCTCGGGGCCACGACATATTATCACGTTCCCACGGGTTATTATGTCGTGGCCACGACAAAACTAAGTGAACCGAACATGTCACCTTACGGGCACCGTACTTTTGTGTTAAATCAGCAGAAAAGTTATTAACCTCTTTATGTATGGCAACATTAAGAACATGGGCTTGTACACATGGCCCATCTGAGAGAATTTAAAACCACAGGTAATAAAAGATGCCTGAGGTGTTGAAAATGACAGAGGGATTTTCCCAAACAGGTCTGCACTCCACACCCAGATTTACAACTTCCTCACAACACATATTAACAGGGCTGGCAGTAAATGCCACATGAGCTACAGTATTAACACATGCCGAATGTGGATGTGTGTATGAGTGTGTACATTTAAAATGCTCACATGTGTTATTTGTAGGGATGTAACGATTCACTCAACTCGCGATTCGATTCGATTCACGATTTTGATTTAACGGTTCGATTTTCTCACAATTTTTTTTAACAAAATGAGATTGAAGACATTATACAGTAAATGAAAAGGTGTTGCTTTATTAGGCTATTGCTGCACGTTTCTTTGTGAAATTGAAATATAACAAAAATAAATTGAAATTTTAAAACAAACCCCAAAATTTAAAATTATAGGCAACCACTGGATTTTAATCATGATCCAAACAAGGATGCAGCATACATGCAGCATGAGTAGTTTTTAATCTAAAGTAGACTGTAAAATTTCGAAATTTTAAGCAAAAACAGAATGGTCTGACTTTAGTGTTGTGAAACTATACTACATAAAACATATCTGAACGAAACAGCAGACGAGCTGAATGAGACGCAGATTCCCTCTCTAGCCAGGTTTCCATCCAAGGATTTTTTATGAAAAAATATTCAGCGCTTCAAAATTTTTACCGATATAGTTGATGGAAATTATCGATAAAATTTCTCGTGTCGACATTATCTTTTTCCGTTTAACTTTAGTGCATAAATTCTATATCGATACTTCAAATGTCGCAAAAAATTTTTGGAAACACTTTTTGTCGAGAAAAGGGGCTTTAACGCAAATAAATGTGGTGTCACAGAAAGATGAAAAAAATCATGATGTAGGCCTAGATCATTAATCTTGCTTTAGGGGGCCTATAAACAGAGTTTTATAATTAATACACATGAGAGGCATATTATACCAAGATGCTTGCACAGTTGATACTGTAGTTGAATGTTTGCATTAGCTGCGTTTCCACTGTCGGGCCAAAAGCGGGCGTGCTAGTGCGTGCCAGGGCCAGTCGCGTTTCCACTGTCACTTCCAGGGCTTGATCGTGCCTCGTCGGTGCTTCCTCTGGGCTAACGGCCCGGGTTTTTTAGCCCGACGAAAACCTTGGGCCAAAGCGGGCCAGCTGGGGCTAGAGGAGTGGTTATGAACAAAGGCGGAGTTTCTCCGCGTCTAGAGGGCGTCAGCGCCGCGGATCATTTCAGAAAGTTAACAGCTATAACATCAGCATTAAAGACTTTTAAAATAATTTTAGTTCAAAACTCACTTCCAGACAGCAGCGAGTGTTTGAAATAACTTGATCCGATGTGGATTATGATCGCATACAAGGCAAAAATATTTATAAGCGATGCAAAAGACTATGCACGCTAGCCATTAACGTTACCATAGTAAACATGGTAAATACGACCGCTTGAAGAAATCAGATGTCAGCTTCTTACAGGTATTCTCTATCACAATCGTGTATTTACTTAGTAACATATTTTATCTGTCATAAGTCTCGTCTCGAGAGTTTAGCTCCGCGTATGTCATAAAAAATATAATAATGATTTTTGTTCGGGAGAAATGATCATTCTTTCTAAATGTGATGTATATTCTGTGACTACAAATAAACAGAAACAGACTCGACTGAATAAGTAGGTAGGCTATGTTCATACCACTTTATTTCTGTGTGACTAATTTTCAATCCTGATAAATTAATTCATTATGATCAATGTATCACTTATTATTGTAAAACATTGATGCTTTTGGATTTAAATCTTTAACAAAGTATGCAAACAAACGGCTACTTTTATCATGTACGTTTTGTGATCGCGCTAGTTCCAGTGACTTATTTCTTATTAGTTTTCTGATAACTTCTCTTTGTTGGTGAAATGATGGGGTTTCGTGACGTTGTTCCTGAGAGGCGTGTAAAGGGCATGTTTTAGTGAAGCGCAGCGGAGCTTCTGGCCCGACGGTGGAAACGCAGCGTGATTTTGCCCTTGGTGCTACAGGTCCGAGGCTATTAGCCCCGCCCGGCCCATTAAAAGCACTGGCTCGCACTGGCCCAACAGTGGAAAGGCGGCTATTGATACAGTGTTTCCTGGGTTACCGCTGTAAACAAAGCAGAGCTGCGCTTATGAACACTACTTTAATATGCATTGTTCAGAGGCAAGAAGAAAAGAAAATACCACATAAACTTTTCTAAAGATAGTCAGTTGCCCTCAGAGATACATTCATATAAACTCCTACTCCAATTGTATCGCGATTTGTTTGGCATCTCAACCGATCTGAATCGTCACATATTTGAATCGATTTTCGAGTTAATCGTTACATCCCTAGTTATTTGCTTGGGTTTCATAAAGAATGGTTGCAACTTACTTGTCCAGAAAGATCTATATAATATGGTTCTCCTTTTTGACCTTTTTGACCAGAGAGTCCCTAAAATCAAGAGGGAAAAAAAATTGTAAATGAAAACTGATCTATACTTTATGAATGATATCACAAAATTTTCACAGCTACGCTCATGGACAAAATAGCAGGACAAAAAGTATTACACTAATAAGCAACTGAGCATGCAACGTGTCAAAATAAAAATTAAGTTTACATGTCAGTGTCTGGTGCATTGAGCTTTTTTATAATTGGTTATTGAAACTGTGTTGTAATAAAAATGTTTGTATAACATTATTTAATTAAATTTTAAATAAAGAAATATACGTGATCCTCAAAAATAAATAAAGAATTCAACTGGCTTTTTATAAGATGATTTGTTTCTTTAGTAAGTGAAATGTCTACTATTATTCAATTTGGTAAATATTATATGCTACAATCTTCTTGAGATGCAGAAAAAGCCCTCAAACTTACAGGAGCACCGGTAAGACCAGGAAATCCATCACGGGCTCTGTCACCTGGGTCACCTCGTGTGCCATTACAGCCATCCAAACCTAGAGGTCCCCTGGGCCCCTCCTGACCTGGGTGTCCCTGCACAGGATTGTAAAAACAGTTTAGTTAACCATTTTCTGTAAAGGGTGAAACTATAGTAAGAGACAAGAACTATGTACTCACTGGAACTCCATCATTACCAGAAAACCCAGGAACACCCATTGGGCCCTGTCAAAAAATTAATAAAACACACAAAGGCATTTTGTACCATCACGTACACTATGCATTGTTTCCTGTATTTAGATCTAATATGAAGGCACATTTCCTGTATTTAGATCTAATATGAAGGCACATACACATTTGTAAACATTTCATTACATTCACAAAGTATAGAGAATAAAAACAAATAATGCCCCTCCATAAAATCTGACCTTATCTCCATTTGGTCCAGGGGGGCCTTTGCGTCCTACATGGCCATTTTCTCCTTTGGGCCCAACTGGCCCTGGGGCCCCAATAATACCCTCAGGACCAATGCTGCCCATCTGTCCAGGTTCCCCAGGTTGACCCTAAAATGAGACAAAAATGGATATAAGAGATAGAAGTACAGAGCCTTCCTAAAATCAGTCGCTTTGCTGTATTCCTCATTTGTACAGTTGCTTAGGATAAAACCATCTGCTAGATGAATAAATAAAAATTAGGGCTGTAAAATCGATTAATCATGATTAATCACATCCAAAATAAAAGTTTGTGTTTACATAATATGTGTGTGTGTGTGTGTGTGTGTGTACTGTGTATATTTACATTTATATATAAATAAAAACACATACATTTAACATAACATAAATCATACATAAATATAAATATATAATTATTTCTTAAATATATACACACACACACGTATGTGTGTTTTTATATACATATAAATTGTTACAATCTCCAGCTGGAGTGCCACGAGCTCCGCTAGAGGCCACTCAACGCCGGACTCCATTTCCCATAACCCTCTGCCTAGGAACTCGTTATTGGACTTCAGCTGTTTCCAATCAGGAGGACTAGACAGGTTACACTCACACACATGGCTGAGTATTGTTAACCTGTATCGCCGTTGTGTTTTCTGTGTTTCTTACCTGTGTTTCCTTGCCTTGTCTTGGCGTGTTTTTGACCTTGGACTGTTTACCTTGTTTTTTGATCGTTTGCTGCCTGTCCTGACCATTGCCTGTTTTGTGGTTTTCTCTTTTACTTTAATTCTTCGCTTGCAGCGCAGCAATAGACTTGGTGCGGAATCGATCTCTGCACTGCTGCAGACGCGCCGCTACTGGAACGCACTGCCGGACCATAATCGTGTGCAGTGAACGCTTTATTAATCCGTTAACATGAGTGCGGAAAAAATACGCACCGCAAACGCACTGCAAATGGAGTGTGTGTGAACTTGGCATTATGTGTGTGCGCTGCCAGTGTGCATGAGCGCTCAGTCTCCTGGAGAGCGCTGAATGGTTAAACACTGGCAAGAATTAAAAAGAAATGCAATTTATAAACTTTAGTGACAAT